TTTGGCCCAGGATGCAGTGGGGGCCCAGGGGGATTTTTGGGGTCACCTGGGGAGTGTTTCAGCTGCGTGTCCCCCCAGGAAAGAGGGCCTCCACCTGGAGCTCTGCGTTCTGACTCCTCCCCGAACGGCTCGGACATGGATCGCAGGTAACCGCGACCCCTCCCCATCCCCATCCCCGGGGGGGAATTTTGGGATCCTCCCGGCTGCTGCTCCACCAATGTACAAAAACCTCAAAGCCTCCAGGCAGCAGCACCCCCGGGGCGGGTTTGGGGCGGGGGCAGCCCCCCTGGCTGCTCACCCCCCTCTCCCCTGCTGCCCCCCAGTATCACCCTCCACCTGAAGATCTCGTGCCCGTCGTCTCCCGCCTTTAACTACTCCCGCAACCCCATCTGTGCCGTGCCCCAGGTGAAGATCGAGATGGAGTCGGACTACGAGGACAGCGACACGGAGAAGGCCCCGCGGGACATGGGCAGCGAGACCACGCTATAGCCCCCCGCCCGCGGGACCCCCCCTTAATTTAATTTATATCTAGATAGGTAGATAGCGCCGCGTTCGCGTGTACCGATAAAGAAACCGGGGGCGGAACTCTGCCCCACGCAGGCGGCCCCGGCGGCCCCGGCGGGTTTTAGGGTCCCAAACCCCGGTGCATTTTAGGGTCCCAAACCCCCGTGCATTTTAGGGTCCTGAACCCCAATGCATTTCAGGGTCCTGCGCCCCAGCGGGTTTTAGGGTCGCACGCCCTGGCAGATTTTAGGGTGGCGTGCTCCAGAATTCCCTCTCTTCCCACTGGGCAAAGGCAACGCCGCTGGCGGCGAAACGGGGCCAGAAAGGGGGGATTGGTGATTTTGGCAAGGAAAGGTGGGATTGGTGATTTTGGCAAGGAAAGGTGGGATTGGTGATTTTGGCAAGGAAAGGTGGAATTGGTGGTTTTGGCAAGGAAAGGTGGGATTGGTGATTTTGGCAAGGAAAGGTGGAATTGGGGATTTTGGCAAGGAAAGGTGGGATTGGTGATTTTGGCAAGGAAAGGTGGGATTGGTGATTTTGGCAAGGAAAGGTGGGATCGGTGATTTTGGCAAGGAAAGGTCGGATCAGTCATTTTGGCAAGGAAAGGTGGAATTGGTGATTTTGGCACAGAAAGGATGGGATTGATGATTTTGGGCCTTGAAAGGAAGGATTGGTGATTTTGGACCCAGAAAGGAGGAAGCACCTGGGATGGGGAGGAGGAGGAGGCTCCTGGGATGAGGAGAAGGCAGCTGGGATGGGGATGAGGAGGAGGAAGAAGAACAGAAGGATGGGGATGAAGAAGAGGAGGCTCCTGCGATGAGGAGGAGGCACGGCAGGATGGGGATGAGGAGGAAGCTCCTGGGATGAGGAGGAGGAGGCACGGCAGGATGGAGAGGAGCCGGTGCCCGGGGAGGGAGGGGAAGGGAAGGAGGAGCAGCTCAGGGTGAAGGGCTTTGCCACTTGAGGGCAACAAAGGGCAACAACTGCACAGGGAATGGGGCCTTGCCTCCTGAGGGATCAGGAATGGTTCCTGAAGGAATTGGGAATGGTTTGTGAAGGGAATTGGGAATGGCTCCTGAGGGAGTCAGGGATGGTTCCTGAACGAGACAGAAATGGTTTCTGCAGGGAATTGGGAATGGCTCCTGAGGGAGTCAGGGATGGTTCCTGAGGGAATTGGGAATGGCTCCTGAGGGAGTCAGGGATGGTTAATTCAGGGAGCCAGGGATGGTTCCTGAGGAGATTGGGAATGGCTCCTGAGGGAGTCAGGGATGGTTCCTGAGGGAATTGGGAATGGCTCCTGAGGGAGTCAGGGATGGTTAATTCAGGGAGCCAGGGATGGTTCCTGAGGAGATTGGGAATGGCTCCTGAGGGAGTCAGGGATGGTTCCTGAGGGAATTGGGAATGGTTCCTGAAGGAGCCAGGGATGGTTCCTGATGGAATCCAGGCTGGTTTCCACAGGGAAAGGGGAACAGTGGCTGCAGTGAAGCCCTTTGGTCCCACCCCACATCCTCACCCCTTACCTCTGCCAGGAACAGCCCCACCCCTCCTGCAGCCCTTCCCTCCCTGGAGGAATCCCCTGCTGGGGAATCCAAGGATCCTCCATGGAGGAACCCCCTGGCAGAGGAATCCCTGGCTGGGCCAATCCAAGGATTCCTTCTGGAAGAATCCTCTCCCTGGAGGAACCCCCTGGCTGGGGGAATCCGAGGATTCCTTCTGGAAGATTCTCCCTGCAGGAATCCTGGGATTCCCCTGGCTCTGCTGCCCAGGGGCTCCGTTCCCACCCCAGCCCCAGGAGCAGGGGGGAGAGCAGCCCCTGCCCCCAGTGCTCCCAGTTCCCCCCAGCAGCTCCTCCCAGTGCCCAGCAGCATTTCGGGGGCTCTTCCCACCCGGGTGGGGTCCAGGCTCCCTCCAACTGTTCCCAGCCCTGCCGAGGCTTTAAAGGATTTTGGTTTTTCTCCAGCACGGCCCAGGCCCAGCCCTGGTTTAGGAACGCTGGTCCAACAGCCCTGGAATCGATTCTTTCTCATTTTTCCTGGGTGAATCCTTCAGGTTCTTCCCTCCCAGAGCCCCCAGGCCCTTCCCGTGGGCAGAACCGACCTGACACTGACACCAGCAGCAGGGACACCGGTGACACCCTGGGACACCGGTGACACACTGTAACTGAGACACCAGTGACACACTGGGATACCAGTGACACCCTGGGACACCGGTGACACCCTGGGACACCAGGGACACCCTGGGGTCTGCAGGGACACCGGTGACACCCTGGGACACCAGGGACACCCTGGGACACCAGGGACTGACACGCTGGGACACCAGTGACTGACACACTGGGACACCGGTGACACCCTGGGACACCGGTGACACCCTGGGACACCGGTGACACACTGTAAACTGGGACACCAGTGACACACTGGGACACCGGTGACACACTGGGACACCGGTGACACCCTGGGACACCAGTGACTGACACGCTGGGACACCGGTGACACCCTGGGACACCGGTGACACTTTGTACATAGGACACCAGTTCAACCTTGGGACACCAGTGACACATTGCAACTGGGACCCCAGTTCAGCACTGTACATAGGACACCAGTCAAACACTGCAAACAGGACACCAGTGACACCAGCTCAGCCTGGCACTGGGCACCAGCTCAGCCTGGCACTGGTCTGTTCCTGACCCCTGTAAATACCCAAATCCCGACTCTAAGGCTGTTTCCTGGTTTTGGCATTTCTCGTTCTGGTTCTGGCGCAGCTCTGGGGACTCGTGGCAGGGCCCGCCGTGCCCTGGGAACATCGCAACCCTGCCCTGGGAACATCGCAACCCTGCCCTGGGAACATCGCAACCCTGCCCTGGGAACATCGCAACCCTGCCCTGGGAACATCGCAACCCTGCCCTGGGAACATCGCAACCCTGCCCTGGGAACATCGCAACCCTGCCCTGGGAACATCGCAACCCTGCCCTGGGAACATCGCAACCCTGCCCTGGGAACATCGCAACCCTGCCCTGGGAACATCGCAACCCTGCCCTGGGAACATCGCAACCCTGCCCTGGGAACATCGCAACCCTGCCCTGGGAACATCGCAACCCTGCCCTGGGAACATCCCAACCCTGCCCTGGCAGTGCCCAAGCTCCTCCTGTAGCTCCTGTCCCCACCCCGTGCCAGCTGCAGTGTGCTCTGGGCAGCTTTAAGGTTTTAATCCTGGTTTAACTCTCTCTCTGCAGCCCAGGGCTCTGGCAGGTTTCAGGTTTTAATCTGGGTTTAATTCCTCCCCTGCAGCCCAGGGCTCTGGCAGGTTTCAGGTTTTAATCCTGGTTTAATTCCTCCCCTGCAGCCCAGGGCTCTGGCAGGGTTCAGGTTTTAATCTGGGCTTAATTTGCTCTCTGCAGTGTGCTCTGGGCAGGTTTCAGGTTTTAATCTGGGTTTAATTTGCTCTCTGCAGTGTGCTCTGGGCAGGTTTCAGGTTTTAATCTGGGTTTAATTTGCTCTCTGCAGTGTGCTCTGGGCAGGTTTCAGGTTTTAATCCCAGCCTAATTCCTGCCCTGCAGCCCAGGGCTCTGGCAGGTTTCAGGTTTTAATCCCAGCCTAATTCCTGCCCTGCAGCCCAGGGCTCGGGGCCGTGGCAGAGCCTCTCTGGGCTGGCTTTGTCCCTTCTGGGCTCGGGTCCCCCCAGGCTTTTGGGGTTTTAGGCCCAGGTGTCAGCCCCAGGCTGGGACTGAACCAGGCTGGACTTGTCAGCACAAGCCAATAAAATCTCCTTCCCTGAGCCTGAGCTCTCCTGTGCTTCATGGGAACCCCGAGTTCCCCTCCTGGGGCTGCAGCACCTCCAGCCTCTGCAACCCTAAAATCATAAATAACTTGATATATACATTAAATATATAATTCTATAGATAGATATATCATAGGTGTAATTATATATAGATGGAAAATATGATATATAATTATATATATGAGATATAGAATTCTATATAAAAATATATAAATATAAAGCATGTAAAAATAGAAAAGTATCTCATGTACATAAATATATATAATTATATAGAAATATAGAAGATCTATGCAATACATTTAAAGCATCTATATAATTATATAGAAATACAGTATATATAATTATATAAATTATATAATTATATGGAAATACAATATATATAATTATATATATATATAATTAATTATATATATTTACAGTATATATAATTATATAAAATATAGAATGATATAGAAATACAATATATACATAAAATACATGATTATATAAAAATATTTTATATAATTATATATAAATATAAAATATATAATTATATCTAAACATAAATATAGAGATAAGATTGTATATAAATATTAGAATATATAATTATATAGACACAAAACCCCAGGCTTTCAAAGCAAGCCCAGCTCCTCTGGGAGCAATAATCACATTATTCAAATATTATAATGATTAGAAAATCAGATTATTACAAAAGCAGTCACCAGTCCAGGCACAAGAAGGAATTTTTTGGTCTTCTCACACTTTATTTTGCCAGCCTGTGCTGCTCTTTGGGCACAGAAACAACTCACCACCAGCCCAAAAGCAAGAAAAGCCCAGCCTAGCTGCACCCTAGAACAGGTTTAAAAATTCACCATGAATCCAAAAAGAAAAGCCCAGCCTAGCTGCTCTCTAGAACAGGTTTAAAAATTCACCATCAATCCAAAAAGAAAAGCCCAGCCTAGCTGCACCCTAGAACAGGTTTAAAAATTCACCATCAATCCAAAAAGAAAAGCCCAGCCTAGCTGCACCCTAGAACAGGTTTTAAAAAAATTCACCATGAATCCAAAAAGAAAAGCCCAGCCTAGCTGCACCCTAGAACAGGTTTAAAAATTCACCATCAATCCAAAAAGAAAAGCCCAGCCTAGCTGCTCTCTAGAACAGGCTACACCAGCCCAGGACTAAAGTATGGCTTTAGTTGTAATATTTTTGTTCAAGTAATTCCTCTAAAGAAGAGTTTAAACTACAGATCCAGCCAGGATCCCAGCAGCTCCTGAGGGAGCAGGGCAGGTAATCCCAGCTCAAACACAAAGCTGAGTCTGGGTAATCCCAGCTCAAACACAAAGCTGAGTCTGGGTAATCCCAGCTCAAACACAAAGCAGGAGTGTGGATAGTCCCAGCTCAAACACAAAACTGAGTCTGGATAATCCCAGTTCAAACACAAAACTGAGTCTGGGTAATCCCAGCTCAAACACAAACTGAGTGTGGATACAAACCCGGAGTTTGGATAATCCCAGCTCAAACACAAAGCAGGAGTGTGGATAATCCCAGCTCAAACACAAAGCTAAAACTGGGTAATCCCAGCTCAAACACAAAGCAGGGATGTGGATAATCCCAGCTCAAACACAAAGCTGAGTTTGGATAATCCTAGTTCATAAACAAAGCAGGAGTGTGGATAATCCCAGCTCAAAGACAAAGCAGGAGTGGGGATAATCCCAGCTCAAACAGAAAGCTAAAGCTGGGTAATCCCAGCTCAAACACAAGCTGAGTGTGGATAATCCCAGCTCAAAGACAAAGCAGGAGTTTGGGTAATCCCAGCTCAGCCAATAAATACCTGTGACCTCAGGGGGAAAAGCCCCTCGTGCAAGACAATAAATAACAAATATTGCATTTCCTGCCGGCCTGTCGGGACTCGGTCTGGAATGGCGTGCTTAGGCCTGGCTCTGAGGGGCCTGCTTAGGCCTGGCTCTGAGGGCCTGCTGAGGCCTGGCTCTGAGGGCCTGCTTAGGCCTGAAGGACCCCTCGTTAAGGCCAGCTCCAAGGGCCCCCCATTAAGCCGGGCTCTGAGGGGCCCCTTGCTAGGCCTGGCTGCGAGGGGCCCTCATTAAACCCAGCTCTGATGGGCTCCTTGTTAAACCCAGCTCAGAGGGTCCTGTTTAGGCAGGCAGAGCCTGAAGCTCGCAGGGTTTCAGCAGTTGTTGGCAGCGATGACGGTGCTGAGAGGGGCCCCTCGTTAAACCCCCCTCGCTAAGCCTGGCTCTGGGGGGCCCTCACTAAGCCTGGCTCTGGGGGGCCCCTCACTAAGCCTGGCTCTGGGGGGCTCCTCGCTAAGCCCGGCTCTGGGGGGGCCCTCGCTAAGCCTGGCTCTGGGGGGGCCCCTCGCTAAGCCCGGCTCTGGGGGCCCCTCGCTAAGCCTGGCTCTGGGGGGCCCCTCGCTAAGCCCGGCTCTGGGGGCCCCTCGCTAAGCCCGGCTCTGTTCAGGCGGGCAGAGCCTCGAGCTGCTGGGCTTTCAGCAGTTTCTTGGCAGCGATGATGGTGTTCTTCATCAGCATGGCCACCGTCATGGGCCCCACGCCGCCGGGCACCGGCGTGATGTAACTCGCCTTCTTCCGCACCCCTGGGGGAAAAGCTCGGCTTAAAGGGCTCCCCGGCCTAAAGCCACGCGGCTTCTGTCGGGATTAAGGCTTTAGGAACGGGGCCAGGTGGTTTTTCCCTGCTGGGAAGGCCCAGCCTGGGTGTGGGGGCCAAGGTGGGGAAAAGCGCCAAGCCAAGACTAAAAGCGCCAAGCCAGGCCTGGAAGCACAAAGGTCCAAAACAGCAAAAAAGCCAGGCCCGAAATTGCCAAAAAGTCAGGCCTGGGAGCCCCAGAAAGCTGGGCCCAAAAGCACCAAGCCTGGCCTGGCAGCACAAAGGTCCAAAACAGCAAAAAGCCAGGCCTAAAAACACAAAGCTCTGAACACATCAAAAGCCAGGCCATAAAGTACCAAAAAGCTGGGCCTAAAAGCACAAGCAATGAGACCTAAATGCACAAAAAGCCGGGCCCAAAAGCGCCAAGCCAGGCCTAAAAGCACAAAGATCTGCAAGCGCCAAAGAAACAGGCTCAAAAGCACTGAAAAGCTGGGCCAGAAAGCACCAGGGCCTAAAAAGCACCAAAAGCCAGGCCTAAAAGCTGAGTTTTAGCACAGAAATGCCAGATCCAAGCCTGGGGTTGGAGCAGAGGCAGAGATCAACTGCTGAGGCTCAGGAGGCTCCTCTGGAGCGTCCCCACGGAACATCCCGGGACACAAACCCGGCTTTGATCCCTCCTCAGTGCCCACAAAAGCTGATCCTGAGCCTAAAGAGCTGATCCTGAGCCTAAAGAGCTGATCCTGAGCCTAAAGAGCCGCTCCTGAGCCTAAAGAGCCGCTCCTGAGCCTAAAGAGCTGCTCCTGAGCCTAAAGAGCCTCTCCTGAGCCTAAAGAGCTGCTCCTGAGCCTAAAGAGCCTCTCCTGAGCCTAAAGAGCTGATCCTGAGCCTAAAGAGCTGATCCTGAGCCTAAAGACCCGCTCCTGAGCCTCTAGAGCTGAGCCTAAAGAGCTGCTCCTGAGCCTAAAGAGCCGATCCTGAGCCTAAAGAGCTGCTCCTGAGCCTAAAGAGCCGCTCCTGAGCCTAAAGAGCTGATCCTGAGCCTAAAGAGCTGCTCCTGAGCCTAAAGAGCCACTCCTGAGCCTGTCCTCACCTTCGAAGTCCACGTCCCCCACGAGCCTGGGCCGGGCCGTGACGGGGTCCTGCACGCGGGTGATGCCCACGTCGATCACCGCCGCGCCCTCCTTGATCATGTCGGCCGTGATCAGGTTGGGGATGCCTGCAAAGCCTGGGCTCAGCCTCGGGGGCTCCACATCCCCCTGAGCCCCCGGTCCCAACCCCCAGCGTCTTCCAACCCGCCTGGGATGTCCTACCTCCCCAAAATTATTGGATTCAGCAATTTTAAGGGTTAATTTCACAATCGAAGCCATCCTAAGAAATGCAAATCGACCCCCTGATCCCAAACTCCCAGCATCTTCCAACCCATCTGGGATGTCCTGCCTCCCCAAAATTATTGGATTCAGGAATTTTAAGGGTTATTTCCAACTTAAACCATGCAAACCTGATCCCAGCTCCCAGGGGGGGATTTTGGGGTGCTGTGCAGCTCCCAGGGGGGGATTTAGGACGTTCCACGGGCAGGATTCCCAGCAGGAGCACCCCTGACCTGCAGCTGCCACCACGATGTCAGCACGGATGGTGTGCTGCTTCAGCTGCTCCTTGGGCGTGTAGCGGTGCGAGATCGTCACCGTGGCGTCACCTGCGGGGACAAGGGACACCCAGCTGTGACTGAGCCAGCTCTGAGAGGAGCCATCACCCCTGACAGCTCAGCTACCCTGAATGGCATCAAATGAGCACCATGGGTTCTGAGGCAGTGCTGGAAACAGAAAAGTTTTAGTAAAAGACAAAATAACAAAGTTCTCACAGAGAGAGACCAAGCTAAGGGCAAGAGGTTCTTGTTCCTGCTAGAACACCCCACCAAAGGGATTATTTCCTTTGTTCTCTTCCTTTTCTAGTGAATTTCCTAGGCCTGACCTCTTGGCCTCTGTCCAGTTGGCAGCCCCAGGTCTGGGGTGAAGTCCTAAGGGTCCTATGAGGTGTCTTTGTACCAAACTGGGAGAGAAACTTCTGGGCTTTTTACTTTTTCAAGCAGACAAAAAATAATTTAGTAACTCCATCAACAAGAGGCACATTCCTACAGGCCAGGAATTCACACCCAGCACCCAAAATCACAGCATCCAAACCCAAAGCCAGCCAGTCCTGTGCTTCTTCACCTCCAAGGTGCTGCTCAGGAACATCAGGGCCTGCTGGTGAACCCCAGGAGCAGCCTCGAGGGACAGGCAGGGATTTGGGGTGGAACAGGACAAGGAGCTGCTGAAGGAGGTTCAGGGGGGACCTTCTGCCTCTCCACAACTCTGTGGGGACAGGAGGGGACAGCCAAGGCAGGGTCAGGCTCTGCTCCCAGGAGAAAGAACAGCCTCAAAGTGTGGAGAAGTTTAGAGTTGGATATTGGGGAAAAAAAAATCCATCATGGAAAAGTTGTAAAATAGGAACAGGCAGAGGATGAGATAAAACAGCCTCAAGCTGTGGAGGAGAAGTTTAGAGTTGGATATTGGGGAAAAAAAAATCCATCATGGAAAAGTTGTAAAATAGGAACAGGCAGAGGATGAGATAAAACAGCCTCAAGCTGTGCCAGGGGAGGTTTAGGGCTGGATAGTGGGAAAAAATCCATCATGGAAAGGTTGTAAAATATTGGGAGAGGCTGCCCAGGGAAAGGGAGAGGCCCCAGGCCTGGAAGTGCCCAGAACAGTGTGGACGTGGCACGGGAGGCTGTGGTGCCCACGGCTGAGTTTCATCACCTCGCACACCGTTCCAGGCTGAACAGGTCAGGGATTCCAAACGTGCTGGGGATTATTCCCCCAGGGAGCTGCTTTAGGGGGCTCAGGGGAGGGTGGTGGCCCCCCGGGCCCCGTCCTACCTCCGGGGCGCTCGTGGCTGCCGTCGGTGTGCAGCAGCATGGCGATGGGCATGCCCACGTTCTTGGACCTGCCCGCCACCACCACGTTCCTGCCCAGCGTCGGGATCCCTGCGGGGACAGAGCGCCCTGGCACGCGGCCCGGGCCGGGAGGGACCGGCCGAGCCCCGGGAGCCCCGGGAGACACCCAGAGTCCCACCGGGAGCACCCCAAAATCCACCCTGGGAGCCCCGCAGAGGCACCCAGAATGCCACCTTGGGAGCACCCCAAAATCCCACCCTGGGAGCCCTGCACAGACACCCCAAAACCCCACCCTGGGAACCCTGCACAGACCCCCAAAATCCCCCCCTGGGAACTCTGCACAGGCACCCCAAAATCCCACCCTGGGAGCCCTGCACAGACACCCCAAAACCCCACCCTGGGAACCCTGCACAGACCCCCAAAATCCCCCCCTGGGAACTCTGCACAGGCACCCCAAAATCCCACCCTGGGAGCCCTGCACAGACACCCCAAAACCCCACCCTGGGAACCCTGCACAGACCCCCAAAATCCCCCCCTGGGAACTCTGCACAGGCACCCCAAAATCCCACCCTGGGAGCCCTGCACAGACACCCCAAAACCCCACCCTGGGAACCCTGCACAGACCCCCAAAATCCCCCCCTGGGAACTCTGCACAGGCACCCCAAAATCCCACCCTGGGAGCCCTGCACAGACACCCCAAAACCCCACCCTGGGAACCCTGCACAGACCCCCAAAATCCCCCCCTGGGAACTCTGCACAGGCACCCCAAAATCCCACCCTGGGAGCCCTGCACAGACACCCCAAAACCCCACCCTGGGAACCCTGCACAGACCCCCAAAATCCCCCCCTGGGAACTCTGCACAGGCACCCCAAAATCCCACCCTGGGAGCCCTGCACAGACACCCCAAAACCCCACCCTGGGAACCCTGCACAGACCCCCAAAATCCCCCCCTGGGAACTCTGCACAGGCACCCCAAAATCCCACCCTGGGAGCCCTGCACAGACACCCCAAAACCCCACCCTGGGAACCCTGCACAGACCCCCAAAATCCCCCCCTGGGAACTCTGCACAGGCACCCCAAAATCCCACCCTGGGAGCACTGCAGAGCCCCCCAGAATCCCCCGGGAGCACCCCAAAATCCACCCTGGGAGCCCCGCAGAGACACCCAGAATCCCCCCGGGAGCACCGCAGAGACACCCAGAATCCCACCCTGGGAGCACCGCAGAGGCACCCCAAAATCCCACCCTGGGAGCACCCCAAAATCCCACCCTGGGAGCCCTGCACAGACCCGGGAGCCCTGCAGAGGCACCACCCTGCACAGACACCCAAAATCCCCCCCTGGGAACTCTGCACAGGCACCCCAAAATCCCCCCCGGGAACTCTGCACAGGCACCCCAAAATCCCACCCTGGGAGCCCTGCACAGACACCCAGAATCCCACCCTGGGAACTCTGCACAGAAACCCCAAAATCCCCCCCGGGAGCCCTGCAGAGGCACCCCAAAATCCCACCCCAGGCCCTGCACAGACACCCCAAAATCCCACCCTGGGCATCCCTGGGTAGCCTGCACAGACACCCCAAAACTGGATGAGTTTTGAGCTCAGGCCACCCCAGGAAGCAGGAAAATCCCTCCCTGGCCTGGATATCTGCAGGACAGGACAATCCCTCCCAGGACAGGACAATCCCTCCTGGCCCTGCTGTCCTTGATGTCCCTCCCAGGACAGGACAATCCCTCCCAGGACAGGACAATCCCTCCCTGGCCATGCTGTCCCTGGTGTCCTGAGCTGGAATTCCCAGAATCCCCAAAAGCTGCAGCAGCAGGAGCTCTCACCTGTCCTCTGGATGATCTCCCAGACGCCCCAGGGCGTGGCAGGCAGCATGGAGTCCTGGTCCAGGCACATCCTGCCCACGTTGAGCACGTGGAAGCCGTCCACGTCCTTGTGCGGGCTCACGGCGTTGCAGACGCGGCGCTCGTCGATGTGCTCTGCAGAGGGCAGGGGCTGGGCTGGGCTGGGCTGCCAGCTGTGCTGCCAGCTGTGCTGCCAGCTGGGACTGTGACCCCGAGCCCTGGCATGGAGCTCTGACCCCAAACTGGAGCTGTGACCCCCAGCCCTGAGCTGGAATTGTGACCCCAAACTGGAGCTGTGACCCCCAGCCCTGAGCTGAAATTGTGACCCCAAACTGGAGCTGTGACCCCCAGCCTTAAATTGGAATTATGACCCCGGGCAGAGACACCCAGAATCCCACCCTGGGAGCACCGCAGAGGCACCCCAAAATCCCACCCTGGGAGCACCCCAAAATCCCACCCTGGGAGCCCTGCACAGACACCCCAAAACCCCACCCTGGGAACCCTGCACAGACACCCAAAATCCCCCCCTGGGAACTCTGCACAGGCACCCCAAAATCCCCCCCGGGAACTCTGCACAGGCACCCCAAAATCCCACCCTGGGAGCCCTGCACAGACACCCAGAATCCCACCCTGGGAACTCTGCACAGAAACCCCAAAATCCCCCCCGGGAGCCCTGCAGAGGCACCCCAAAATCCCACCCCAGGCCCTGCACAGACACCCCAAAATCCCACCCTGGGCATCCCTGGGTAGCCTGCACAGACACCCCAAAACTGGATGAGTTTTGAGCTCAGGCCACCCCAGGAAGCAGGAAAATCCCTCCCTGGCCTGGATATCTGCAGGACAGGACAATCCCTCCCAGGACAGGACAATCCCTCCTGGCCCTGCTGTCCTTGATGTCCCTCCCAGGACAGGACAATCCCTCCCAGGACAGGACAATCCCTCCCTGGCCATGCTGTCCCTGGTGTCCTGAGCTGGAATTCCCAGAATCCCCAAAAGCTGCAGCAGCAGGAGCTCTCACCTGTCCTCTGGATGATCTCCCAGACGCCCCAGGGCGTGGCAGGCAGCATGGAGTCCTGGTCCAGGCACATCCTGCCCACGTTGAGCACGTGGAAGCCGTCCACGTCCTTGTGCGGGCTCACGGCGTTGCAGACGCGGCGCTCGTCGATGTGCTCTGCGGAGGGCAGGGGCTGGGCTGGGCTGCCAGCTGTGCTGCCAGCTGTGCTGCCAGCTGGGACTGTGACCCCGAGCCCTGGCATGGAGCTCTGACCCCAAACTGGAGCTGTGACCCCCAGCCCTGAGCTGGAATTGTGGCCCCAAACTGGAGCTGTGACCCCCAGCCTTAAATTGGAATTATGACCCCGGGCCTTGAGTTGTGACCCCAAACTGCAATTGTCACCTCAAACCCTGAGCTGGAATTGTGACCCCAAACTGGAGCTCTGACCCTGAGCCTTGAGCTGAAATTGTGACCCCAAACTGGAGCTGTGACCCCCAGCCCTGAGCTGGAATTGTGACCCCAAACTGGAGCTCTGACCCCGAGCCTTGAGCTGAAATTGTGACCCCAAACTGGAGCTCTGACCCTGAGCCCTGAGCTGAAATTGTGACCCCAAACTGGAGATCTGACTCCAGGTCCTGAGCTGCAATTGCAACCCTGAGCTGGGATTATGATCCCAATCTCTGAGCTGGAATTGCAGCCCCAAACTGCAGCTGTGACCTTGAACCTTGAGTTGGAATTGCAGCCCCAAAGTGCAGCCCTGACCCTGAGCAGGAATTGCAGCCCCAAAGTGCAGCCCTGACCCTGAGCAGGAATTGCAGCCCCAAAGTGCAGCTCTGACCCTGAGCAGGAATTGCAGCCCCAAATGCAGCTCTGACCCTGAGCAGGAATTGCAGCCCCAAAGTGCAGCTCTGACCTCAAGCCCTGAGCAGGAATTGCAACCCCAAACTGCAGCTGTGACCCTGAGCTGCAGCTGTGACCCTGAGCCCTGAGCAGGAATTGCAGCCCCAAAGTGCAGCCCTGACCCTGAGCAGGAATTGCAGCCCCAAACCACACCTCTGACCCCGAGCTGCAGCTCTGCCCCTGAGCCCCAGCTCACCCCTGCAGAGTGTGGTCCCTGACTCCCCACACCCCCAGCTGCAGGCTGGCACCCCCAGCTCTGGGAGCACTCTGCAGTGAGCCCTGCTCACACGGGGAGCGTTCTCAGGCAGCCCAAGGCCGCGCACACCCAGCTGGGGAGGCTGACACTCCCACACGGGAACAGCTGCCAGGGGCTGAACCCTGAGGGCAGCTGCTGCTGAGGGGGAGGATCAGGGCAGGGTCCCCCCCGTGCCTCCCCCTTGGAAGCTTTCTGGGAATGCAGGAGGGAACTGAGCTGCTCACCAGGCAGGGGAAGCTGCACCAGGAGCCCGTCCACGGCCGTGTCACTGTTGAGTTTGGCAATCAGCTCCAGCAGCTCCTCCTCGCTGATGGAGGCTGGCCTCAGGATGGTCTCGCTGCTGATCCCTGGAATTGCCAAATCCGCGGTGTCAGTAAGGCACAAAAGAGTGATTTTCACAGATTTTGTGCATTTTCTGCCCTGTTTTGCTGCCTGGCTAACTCTGGGAGGTGCACACCGAGGATGGAAGGGTTTGTGTGGCTCCCAGGCTGGAGGAACCTTCACAAGCCTTGGGATTTATTGTTGAGGATGATTTTATGGGGCTGGTGGCCTGGGAAAGGGGGTTTGGGACTCTGCCAGAGCAGGGAGAAACACAAGCAAAGGCTGCTGCCATGAAAATAAAACCACATGGCCTGAGAGGCCTCTGGACACAGTAAAAAAGGGATATTTGCCTCAAAATCCCAGCTCCAAAAGCAGCCTCAGCTGTTAAGAGCCAGGTTAAGTGACACCATTTATTGCCCCTGACCCCGAGCAGGACCTTGGACTGCAGGATGGGAGGGAGTCAGAGAGCAGCAAGGCTGCTGAACAGGATCTGCCCCAGGCAGATGGGAAAAGGAGGCCAAAAATCCCCTCCTGTGCTTTTCACGGCTCTGGGAAAGCTGAAAAACCCCAATCCTGCCCTGAAGGCTCCAAGTGATCACACCTTACCACACCCCAGGACAGCTGGGCAGCCACAAGAACCCAAATTCCGGGTGAAGCCAAAAAACCAACAGGTGGGTGCACCCCAAAAAAAAGCTTCCAGCATCGAGGGTTCCCAACCAAACTGCGTTTTTAGAGAACAAAACCCTCCCACTCACCCACATCAGCCGCTGCTTTGGTTTTGTTGAGGACGTAGGAGTGGCTGGCCGGGTTCTCCCCCACCAGCACCACGCTCAGGTGGGGCCTCCTGTGGCCGGCAGCCACCCACTGCTGCACCTCGTGCCGCGCTTCCTGCCGGATCTGCCGGGCCAGCTTCCTCCCCGAGATCACCACGGCGTCCCCCCTGCGGGGAAAGAAAGGGTGAGCACAGCTGGGGCAGGATGGGGCAGGGAACCAGGGGAAAAAGGGGAAAGGGTGAGCACAGCCCCGGGCCCTGCGCTGCCAGCCCGGCCAGGGCAGAGCAGGAAACCAGGGGCAAAAGGGTGAGCACAGCCCGGGCAGCATGGAGCAGGAACCAGGGGCAAAAGGGGAATGGTTTAGCACAGACCGGGCAGGATGGAGCAGGAACCAGGGGCAAAAGGGGAATGGTTTAGCACAGACCGGGCAGGATGGAGCAGGAACCAGGGGCAAAAGGGTGAGCACAGCCCGGGCAGCATGGAGCAGGAACCAGGGGCAAAAGGGTGAGCACAGCCCGGCCAGGATGGAGCAGGGAACCAGGGGCAAAAGGCTCCATCCCCTGTGCTTTGTCGGGGCCTTTGGCACCTTTGTGCTCGGTCACGTTTCCAGCATCAAATCTGGGACCAAACGGGGCAGGATCAGAATATCCTGAGCTGGAAGGGACCCACCAGGATCAATGATTACACCCCAACATCCTGCCCTGTGCAACGCTGGGAATGTTGGCCAAATATTGTTTGGAGCAGGGTGGGATGCTTGGGGGTCTCTGTCCCCGTCACCCCAGGGAATGCTCTGGGCTCTCTGTCCCCCTCACGCCAAGGAATAACCAAGAAGAGGGGGGTGATGGTCTCCTTTCTCACTCAGGGGGTCTCTGTCCCTCTCACCCCAGCGCCCGGGGGGGTCTCTGTTCCTGTTATTCTGGGGAATGACTGGAGGGGCTCTGTCCCCTCACTCCGGGCTGTCTCCGTTCCCCTCACTCCGGGCTGTCTCCGTTCCCCTCAGCCCGGGCTGTCTCCGCTCCCCTCAGCCCGGGCTGGCTCCCTCCCGCCCGCCCGTGCCGGGGCAGCCCCGCACTCCCACGCAAGGCGGCCGCGGGATTTCATCAGCCTGCAGCTCCCGCCGCGGCCGCTGGGGGCCTGCCCGCCGCTCTCAGAACCACCGGGGCCAAACGGGCCGCGACCCCGGCCCGGGGACCGCCCGAACCGAACAGCACCGGGCCGGGCCTCTCCCCTCACAACCCTCCGGGCCCGGGCGGAGCGCGGCGGGCGCTGCTCCCACCTCCCTCCCGAGCATCCCCGCACATCCCCCGGTGTCCCGGCCGTACCGGGCGGCGCTGAGGTGCAGGCGGCGGGCGCGGGGCTCCAGCGCGGCGCGGCTGAGGGAGCGGAGGGGCCGGAGCGCGGAAGCCATGACGGGAATGAACGCGACAAGTGGCGGGAACAGCACTGAGGGGAGCGCCGCTTGCCGCCCCCTATATAGCTGATAAGCCCCGCCTCCCCGGCCGCAGCCAATGGGGTTCAGCCCCAAAAATGATTGATTGAGGCTTTCACCTTGGGCGGCGGGAGAGGCGCTGGGGCGTCGGGCCCGGAGCGACCGCGGCCGCTCCGAACGGGGCGGACACGAACAAAAACACCGAGGGATCGGGGATTGGGTAAAATTGGCGTCACCTCCGCCGCACGGCAGTGGGCGCGGTGTGGGTGGGGGGGCGAGAGGCTGCAGGGACCCCTGGGCCCGGCCCCAGCCGTGGGCAGCAGCTCGGGGGGCTCGGCCCCGCTCAGGTGAGACCCCACCTGCAGCGCCGGGAGCTGCTCTGGAGCCGGGCTGGGAGAGCTGGGAATGGTCCCCTGGAGAAGGGAAGGATCCAGAGAGAGCTGGGAATGTTCCCCTGAAGGGAAATTCCAGGGAGGGCTGGGAATGTTCCCCCGGAGAATGGAGAGCTGGGAATGTTCCCCCGGAGAAGGGAAGGATCCAGGGAGAGCTGGGAATGTTCCCTTGGAGAAGGGAGAGCTGGGAATATTCCCCCGGAGAATGGAGAGCTGGGAATGTTCCCCCGGAGAAGGGAAGGATCCAAGGAGATCCCCAGGGAGAGCGCCCAGCACATCCCGGCCCCGCAGGGGCTCCAGGGCAGCTGGGGACGCACCGGGAACACCGGGAAATTCTCCCAAAATCCCGCTTTAACCGTGGCCCCACCCCCGCCCCGCACCGACCAATCAGATCGCTCTCTCGTTCTCTCCCCACCCCTTTATTGTGACATCACAAAAGGCCGCGACGCTCAGTCCCTCCTCTATTACGTCACGGAACTCCCATTGGCTGTTGGGGAGAGGGCGTGGCTTGCCGGGAGTATAAAAGGCTGTGCCCGCGCGCGGGGCGGGTCCGGAGAAGGGGAGGGAGAGGGAGGGAGGGAGG